TGACCCCCTGTTTCTTTCTAGCAATCTTTGCTTGCAGCAGCATATGGACTCTAGAATCTAGAACCCACTTCGCATCGGTCTTTCGCACAAGTTGTTGAAGTGTGGCTGCAATATCCTCAGCAATATGTCACTGTCTTGTAAACATTGCACATGCTCCTGAGTTGCTTTTCAGACGCCTGAAATTCAGCACCAGCTCTAGCAAACACAAAGCCAAGGGAAATGGCTCTGAGGCACCCACACGCTGAGGCGCTTGCCAGCTTGGTTCTTGCCCCCAAGCACCCAGACGGTGTTGCCCACTAACGTGGCAGAGTGGCCGTACACTTCCTGCGGGTATGGACGGGCTGTGCAAGGGGCGCTGCAAGAAGAATAGCTGCTGGCCCTCTGAGCACTAAATCGCAAAACACCAGTGTCTCTCTCAAAAATGTGCGTAGCAGAGACCATGGCTTGGAAGGTAGCAACGGGCAGAGGCGGTGAGCCGTTTCTTTAGCAATATTACATAATATGTATAGTATGTCTTTTTAGAATGCCTCGTTGACAATCTATTCGTTCAAGCTACTATCCTGCCGTGTGCTTTTCTCCGCAGCTGCCACCCCTGGTATAAAAGCATGCAGCCAGCTACGCAAAGCGGACGGAGCATATTGAACGAGATTCACCGTGACCCCGACCCTGTCCCGATCTTGGAAGCTGCTAGGCTGCGACCACAGGAACTCAGCGCCGGAGCCCGCACGTGGCAGCTGTAGCGGCTGTATCCATTGCAAAGGCTGGCACACGGGCTCCATTGACGCTTGTTTGCCGGTGGCCTGGCTGAGAGAGTAATACTGCAATTGCAGTTCCATCGGTTCGTGGAAAGTGCGCAGGGTGGGTCAGGTAGGTCCGGGTAGGTGAGGCTGGCATGACGTGACTGCTCAATCATGGCTGTTGAGGCATGATGGCTTGCCTTAGCTATTGCTTGCTTCCGCCTTGTCATCTAGCAGCTCTGCAGCAAAGTCTTGCAGGGCACGACTTTGTTTCCTTGGCCCTCCATACGGTGTGAGCAACAAGCAACATCTACGCAAGCCGCAGAGAGCCAATACAAATCTCCGGGCACCCAAAAGCAAACAACACCTGCACGCAAAACCAACCAGGACCACATTCAAAGGATACCAGCAACCCGAAAGCCTGAAAGTGTGTGAAGGCACTTGCTGTTCACACAATTCCCATGTAAGAGCTTGACAAAAAGAATTGAATGACCTGTCCGAGCTCCTTAATGACTGCCAACATGATCGCAACCATGGAAAGCATACGCAGCAGCAACACGCGGAGAACCCATGAGCGTGGCATGTGTGTGTGTGTGTGCATCCAAAGGGCAAGTTGAATGGAAGCAAAAAACACCTCGGAAGCTGGAACAAGGCCTGGCACGTCCAGGTACATTTTCCGCGGTGCATAAAACCCAGCGCGACCTACCATGCAAGAAAACTGGCGAGAAAATCGGGCAGGGGTAATGTGCAAGGCAGTCATGCGTACATCTGCCATCGCTTATTGCACAGTTGCGGCCTTATGCTGACTGGCTCCTTGCGCCACAACGGCACGCCCAACAAATTATTGGCGGACAGCTGATGCGAAAACAAGCCCTGGCATGCACCTTCTGGCTGCAGGCTGGTCGCAACTGCTGCCGGGTTGGGACGCACTAAGCAAAGCTTGCTGACTCACGCGTCGCCTAGGGCTGAGCCTTAGCCTTTTGCATGGGCTCAGGCCAAATTGAGCTGGTCAAGCTGCGTACTCCTCCTCCTGCTCCGTCACTTGCTCCTCCTGCTCATGCCTCAGGATCCGCAAGTCCGCAACAGACGTAACTCAACCCCCTGCGGGCGAAAGATGCGACATTAAACAGGCCAGCATCTTGGCTTTGTTTCCGAATTTCATGGAGTGCTCCGTCTTGGCTGGCCTCCATGCCATCAGCGCAGCGGCGTCCGCAATCTCGCCGCGCATTACCTCAATTTGGATCTTTGGGTAAGATGTAAATCTAGACAAGCAAGGCCCAATAACTGCAAAACATCTCGAAAATGCCATTGAAACCTTGGGCGCCATCATGCGACATCTCGTTTTTTGGCAGTTAACACCGAAAACAGCAAGCAAGCTCAACTCTACTTGGCTACAACAAACATGACAATGAACAGGCTACTCTGTCATGAACACTCCGCTTGCAATCGCTCCATTCAAGGACTTTCTGGAACTGCCTCAAACTGGACAAAATATCGGGCTTGCTGTTGGAGGGACTTGTCCTTTGAGCGGAGAAACGCTAAACGAAAACATGGCCCCACACTCTATTTCTCAAGTGGGCCTGACTGAGATGTGTTCAGCCTCTTGCTCCCAATCGGTGCAACTTGCGAACCGCTGCCAACGCGCGCGTTTAAGTGCAAGGCTGCCTCAACCTCCTCGACTGTCCTGGCGGCTGCAGCTTCTCATTAAATAACAACCCTGCCCAAGTCATGCAAAGCAAAATCAAGTGCCCCATGGAAAGTCC